AAAAATTAAAATAAAATAAAATAAAAATTAGAATAAATAGCAACTCGGCCAACATTCACATTTACACGACGGACGGGACGACCCCAGCCATGAAGGTTTACAGACTGGTTAAGGAAGGACGCAGACGAAACTGGGCGTGAGGGGCGCGCTCCCCACGGGGGCGTGGGGCTCCCGGCCTCGTCCAGGGGAAGCGGGGAGCCTCCCTGGGGCTGCGGCCCCAGAGCTTAGGCAAAGCCACCAGGCCGTGGGGAGCAGGGCTGTGGCAAGCCTGCCGCCGCCGCCACAGAGGAAAACAATGACTAACTCATCCTGACAGGCAGGGGGAGACCGGACAGGATCAACATCAGATGGCTGGACAGAGCCTCCTCCACGCGCCAAGCACTGGGGCGAGCGGGGGGAACAGCACGAGCCTCAGAAACGCAATATCCAGTTCTGCCTCCCCTCAAGTACATTCGGAGGTCGACGTGGACACGGCCTTCCTCACTCGGCACAGGGGAGGGGGCGGGGGTCTGCAGGGCACCCACTTCTGCCCCCCAGTTCCTGTCTGAGTGGTCTCCCCTGGGAAGCTGCCTCAGAGTCTCAAATTTTAGGCTTTACTGTTGTTTCTGGACAAAAAAACAAAAATTTTTTTTTCAACGTTTTCCTTTCATGTCTGAAAAAGGAGCAGCAACCTGCATTTAGACAAACAGCTCAAAGTGTTATTCGGATTGGCCAGGAAGCGCTTTCAAGCAATGGAACAAACTAGGCAAACCGTAAGTCTGGAGCCACCGTGACACGACACGTAATTAAAAATATATTTATATATGTATACATATTTATATCTCACTTCTTCACACTCCTAACAGCCAGGGAGGGTGGCCCTGGGGCAAGACCACCAAGGAGGGCGTGAGGAGGAAGGGGTGTCAGGCCTCGGGGTGCCCACAGCCCTGTCTCCGCTTCTGCGGGGCGCGAGCCCCTCTGCACAGTGTTTGGGAGCTCCCTTTGCGAGGCTTGTTCTCGGGGCCACGGAGCCCGCGCTCCCAGGTCTCTCTGCTCGCCCGGGGCCCTGCCGCGTTTGCAGCCGATGCACGCACAGCCCGCACATCCTCGCTGGAGGGAAGCAGGGCTGGCTGAGGGCAGCCTGATTTCAGGAGAGCATGACCCCTGGTGCCCTCTCTCAGCACCCCAGCGCCAGCCCCTATCCCCTCAAGGCCTCTTGCTGGGCTTCTGGTGTCCCTGCGCCCCGGGCTGGGCCTACATGAGGGCCGAGGAGGAAAGGCAGGAAGCAGAAGCTTGAGGAAGCGTGTGACAAAAGGTGGGGGAGAAGTGGGCAGAGCGGGGGGCCAGGGGCAGCACGGGCTCCCTGTGGCAGAGGCCACAGACCTGTTTCAGGTAAACCTGCTCCCCATCACCCTGTCCCCAACAGGCTCTTTTGGGGGACAGGCCCAGGCTCCAATATTGGAGCCAGACCTGGGAGAACTGGGGAAGCCGCTCCCCACCCACCTGCTCTCTTAGCATCAGTAAGGAGAGACCCTCCCCGCCCCTCCCCTCCCAGCCGGTCTGACTACACCAGGAGGGGCTCCGTCATGACCCAGGGCATGACCAGCCTCAACAAAGAAGCAAAGAAGGAAGTGGCTGGCCTCTGACATTTTTGGGGGCTCATCAAAGTGTGTGCTCCAGACCCTGGAGATGGAGCTGTGTAGACACCTGTTACGATCTGAAGCTGGCCTCACAGAGCTGCCCCGAGTCCTGCTCTTGAGCCATCACAAAAGGGGCTGCTCCCCAGGACCAGGGCCTTTCGAGAAACCCCAGCCTGGAAAGCTCCATCTGGCAGCTCCACCAGGCCACCTGACTGCCCCTCTCATGACTCAATGGATTCGCCCCTTTCCCAACCTCCGTGGGTGGGCTGGGCTTCTGCACCTTGCCTGGGCTCAGGCTAGGGCGGTAACACAGCGTTAGCTAAACCCCGAGGTCCCAGACAGCCAGACAGCTCCCACCCCACCCTTCTCCTCAGTAAGACCCGAGAGTGGAGCGGGAAACACCACCTAGCATTTTGGTTTTAATTCGCCAGCTTTGTGCCCTGTTCGCCACAAGGCCCGAGGGGCCAGGACCGGGTTTACTATGGTCCCAGTGGCGAGGAACACAGGATTCCAGCCGCGACCCCTGCCGGGGCAGAAGTTTCCAATTACCCTAATTGGCTACTGGCAAGCTGTCTGTGGCTAGAATCCTTCCAGAGGGGGCCGGGTTTGATCTCCCACTAATCCGGGGGTCCTCGCGGTGCTGACTGTGTGATCACATCGCAGGCATTTTCACTGAGAGAGAAGACTTCAAAGCAACCGACTTTTGAGAAATAAAACACAGTAAACAAAAGAGTGCAAGTAGAACTGCAAACTCCATGTCCCCTGCTGCCCCCGACCCCCTAGGCCCGAGGCCGGGGGCTGTGGGGAGGAGGCGGGAGGGTGGAGCGAGAAGGTTAGAGAAAAGCTCAGCCTCGGCTGACAAAGGCCGTCGATTGCGGGGGGCGGCTGGTGGGGACCGTGCCTGCCTTTGTCCTCCCGGACATCTGCTACACGTCGCCTGCTGCCAGTTGGCGACGGCGGCTGACAGCATGAGGGAACAATGCAAGCCCCGTCTCCGACCCAGTTTTTCAGCCCTCTGAGGTCCTTTCTGACCCAAGCGGTACCCGGCCGAGAGGAGTCGGAGATGAAATCCCTCGCACAAAGCTCTGCGGGGATGGGTCTTGGGGGAGGTGGGAATGAGGAGGGGAGGGCCAGGGCCACCAGGAAAAGAAACATGCTTCCCTTATTGGTGTGAGCTGCCGCATGCTCGGGCTGGGGGGCTCGTGCGTGGGCTCCTCTCCGGGATTCCATCCCTTCCCCGTCTGGCTCCAGACTGGCCACTGACTCTGCCTGCCTTCCTCCCATGTCTTCCTCCAGCCAGGGCCACCCCTGTCCTCCCGCCTGTCCATCTGGCCCTGTGCACCAGGGCCCCAGCTGCCCGTGGGCCGCCCGCCAGGCCCCCTGGCTGTCAGGCTGTCAGTTTCTGGATGGTTCTGTTGTAGTACTGCGTGATGGGGGGCGTCAGAGGGTTCCAGCTGTTGGCGTGGAGCTCGATGACCTCCAGGAGCAGCGACCGGGTCAGCATTGACTCTGAGGGGCACAGCATCTTGTCCCGGGCGCTGGCCAGGAGCTCTGTCATCATCTCGGGCAGCTGCTCCTCCAGCAGCCGGCCTGTACTCTGCAGCTGCAAGTATGGAATCGGGGTTAGGACAGGACTCGGCCCCGCAATGGTCCTCTGACCTCCTTGGTTAGGTGCGCTGGGGGCAAGCACAGGAAATAGCTGGCTCGTTTCAGGGACATGCAAGCTCAGGCCTCCGTGCCGTGGCAGGAAGGAGGACGGGGGGCTGGAGGTGGGCACAGCCAAGCGTGGGATCCCACATTAACAAGTGATCTGCTGTCAGGAGCCAGAAGGACCAGAACATCACCTGCTGCCCGGAGCTGAAGGGGCCCTTGCCAGAAATGTGCCTCTTGTCCCTTTCACCCAAGAGCCTCCCTCCTACAGGAAGCCTTCCCTGACTACACTCACACCCCCCGACAGTGCCGTGATCTGCTCCCACTGGCGATCGGGTGGCACCATGCTCATTTCACTTGCTAGGGCGTCTCTCTGGGGATGAGCTTAGTCATTGTTACCTGCAGGTGTCTGTGTGGAACTTGAGAGCAGGGACGGCAGCTCCTATTTCTCTCTCTCTCTCCCCTTCTCTCCTGCCCCCGATCCCACCTCACCAGGCCCCAGAACTGACCTCTGCCCATGCCTATGACACGATGGGGGAGAGAAACATGAACCGGGGAGCAGGCCAGCCAGAGGCCCTGCCCTGCAGGGACCCTGATCCTCTCAAAAAGCCGAACTGGGCAGAAGGAGCCCCGGTCTTCCTGGATGGGCACACCCCCAGGCAGCAGCCCCAGGCCCTCTCCATACACTCGCAATCCCCACCTCTGCCCCACCCCAGCCTTGTCCCACCCATTTTTCTAGGCTCCACTGTCTTCACAAAGCCTTCCTTGACCTCCTGAGCACCCCCAACCTGTCCTCTGACCCTCAGGGCTGTGTGCTCTGTGCCCACACTTGTTTTCCACACTGCACATCCACTGTGTGCGTGCCTGTGGCTGGGACTATAGACACGCACCACCATGCCCAGCTAAATTTTCTATTTTTTGTGGAGACGGGATCTCTCTGTGTTGCTCAGGCTGGTCTTGAATTCCTGGCCTCAAGCAATCCTCCTGCCTCAGCCTCCCAAAGTGCTAGGATGATAGTGCGTGACTCTCTTTTAAATGGAGATATAATTCCCATAACATAAAATCCACCATTTGAAAGTATATGTAAGTGCTTTTTAGGACATTCCCAGAATTGTGCCGCCGTCACTGCTCTTGAATTCCTGAGCGTTTTCATCATCCCCAAAACAAACCCATCCCCATTAGCAGTCACTCCTCATTCCCTCCCCCCTCCAGCTCCTGGCAGCCCCCACTCTATGTTCTGTCTCCATGGATCTGCCCCTGCCGGACACCTCTTATACACGGAACCACAACATGTGGTCTTTTGGGATTGGCTTCTTTCATCTAACGATGTTTTCAGGGTTCACTCATGTTGCAGCGTGTACCAGTACTTCATGCCTTTTTATGGCTGAATAATATTTCCCTGTGTTGGGTACATCCCATTTGTTTATCCATTCACCAGTTGATGGCGTTTGTGCTGTGCCCACTTTCTGGCTATTACGAACAACGCTGGCCGTGAACATTCACGGGCCAGTTTTTACGTGGATGCGTGTTTTCAATTCTCCTGGGTAGATGCCTAGGAATAGAATTGCTGGGTGACGTGGTAGCTCTATGTTTAGCTCTTTGAATAACTTCAGGCCTGTTTTCCACGGTGGC